AGAATTTAATCGATAAAATATAATAGTATAAGAATATATAAAAATATATTTTACTTTGTCAGTTTATTACATTTCTATAAAACTACATAAATATGGTGTATTTACATCCTACGCGAGTAACATGTTAAGCGAGAATAAGTCACAGTTAAGGAAAAGGTCACAGTTTTCTTCCTGTCTCTCGACAGAGACAGAAAGAAAAGCTGATGTAGGCTATTTTTGTAAAATCCTCAAAATGCTTTACAATTCACGGCAGATTATCACATTTCCTATTACATTTATAATGAAAACACTCAATACAAATTTAATTGCATATGAAATAAGAATTAGGAAATCGTTGAATATATCCAATAAAAAAATTATATGCATCTAAAACAGTAATGACTCTTCAATATAATGTTAAATAAAAATGTTCTTTAAACATACATCTAAATTCACATTATGAATTATTTATTACAAGACTTAAAGCGAGTACGTGTATGTAAACGACAATAATGTACAACGAGAACAGTTCGCCGATATAGAAAATATGAAGTACTCGGGAACAGTGAGCGGCCGCCGCGCCGCAGGGAAATAACGAAAGAGAATAAGAAAGCGTCGTGCCAGCGACAACTGTATTACTACGGCATTTACTTACAATAATGTATAGCAATACATTTCCATCTGAAAACGCTGCATTAAAGCGCGATCATAACTGGGAAGCCGTTTGGTGCGTGGGTGTAGCCGGTGTAGCACGCGCTGCATTTTCCCATACAATTTCCACGACGAAAGGAAGGTGTAAAATCGCGCGAGATCCGACCTTTTGTCCTCGTTCTCAAGTTTCTAGAGTTTCTCGCTTTTGCAAAACGTTACGATCAGCCCACGGCGAAGGGGAAACGCGCGTCAGCGGAAAATTTTCGTCGGGACGCGGCTTGCGTCATGGGGATCGGTTCGCACTAACTCTCGTAACGTTTATGATTTTTCTCGAGAGGATGAGCCTATATTCTTTTCGCGTGGCGCTGAAAATGACAAGCTTGCGGACTCCAGTTGTTAGCACTGATACAGCTTTATGACGAAAGTTTGTTAATAAAAGTTTGCTTACGGTATTGCCCTCCGGGTGAAGGGACGTGAGGAAGGGGGAAGAGGGGCGGGGTGATGATTTAGTAGGACGACATAGATTTCATGCCTTCGCTATGCAGATGAGAGACGCGGGAAAAGTTGGAAATTCCGGTCCCATAAGAGAACGAGTATGAAGATGACTGGCAAAGCATCGCTTTTAACGAGATTACGCCTCATTTTGTCGCGCCGTGATATACGCTTAGCACTTTGAAGAAATTTTGAATGAAGTCGCGAAATTGCAAGCAATTGAAAAGAAGAGTACAAAAGAATGATAAAATAAAGTCGCATACGAAGAGCGATATTCTAAATAGAATTACGGGACATTCTATTTTAAGACGGAAGTCTCAATTCGATATCTTTTTATTTTTAATCGCGCTAGTTTTTTTATTCTCATACCGCGACCAATAAATAAATAATTCTTATAAATAAAAGGCGCCCCTCTAAATATGTATATAAGTTGCAAGCATAATACAAAATCAGGCATTTTATAAGATGCCTAGGCCTTTTACGGCATAACGAGAGTTTTAGAAAATAAATTAAAGTTTAGAAATGATTTTTGTACATACCATGCATAATTTAAAAAATTTGTAAGTATATGCGTGGGCGGAGCCCCTCCTCCGCCTAGAAAAACTAATCTAACTCCAAGCCTATTCCTAAAGAAATTGAAATTTGGTTGAAGTAGGCTTGGAGTTAGATTAGTGTTTTTATGCGGGGGCGCAGCCCTTCTCCCGCCTACATGTGTACTGTCTATACACACCTATCAGCAAATTACTTCTCTTAGCACTGACACAAACTGTTATATTTCTCAAATATCTAAGCGAAATCTATGCATTATAAGTTAAGTACACACACGACATTATGCCGGCTTATTATAAAATGCCTAATTTTGTTTATGCCTACGCCCTGCAACATATATAAAGCTTAATATTTCTGTCACAATATTTATATTATTTACAATGTATAGGTACAGCACGGAAAATGTCAAAATAATATTTTCATTATCGATTCGCCGAAAATGAATTCATGTTTTACCCGTCGTGGATGGAATACCAAATCATGCATATGCTTTCATATTTCACTCGTCGCGCATTAACAATTGATCTCTTCAGAGACTGACTACGCGTATAATAAATATTAACACGCGCAACGAAATATATACGAAACCTGTCTGATGTTTGATGTATAATTTTGGTGCAGGCACCCGATTCCCGTGTTGGCGATGAAAATAACGGCGGAGTTCAAGAAGAATCGCCAAGAGAGTTTTGCCGATATCGCGACTATAAAAAGCGAACCCCCCTCCCCCCGCTATATCACGATCGACCTTTGAGGCCATTGCCGAATATTGAAACCATCGGGGAACAAATAAATAAGCTAGCGCCATGGGTTCGATAAATTTCGAAACGATCGCTTGATAAACACAGCCGGTATCCTCTTCCGCGCGATAGACATCCGACTGGAAGCTAGAACATCCGCGCGCGCATATGAAATGAGAGAAGAAGAAACGCGATCGTAAAACAAGATAAGCTCGAACACGATGTTTTTCAATATCTAAACAAAGGAAAAATAAATGAAAATTTTTTTGAAAAAGTTGGAAAATAAATATATGAGAAGAATAAATCGGACATCAAACTTATGAGAGTTTATATATATGTGTATATAAGGGTAAAATGCGTTATATTGCTACAATTCTTTTAAAAGTATATCTTATATTTAAATTGAAATTCTTCAATTATAAAAAATAGAAGCAGCGTATGTGTACTGGAAACATTCACATCTCTTGAACATTTGTATAGTAATGTTGCAAGAACTTTGTTGAGAATTTTCCATAAAGCATAGAATAATTTAACAATGTTGCCGGCGAGTTAAAAAAAAGAGCATTAAAGCGAATGTAATAATAGTAGCAAAGTGTCTCTACGACAAAATTTTGCCTGATGTGATTCCAGAAGACATGTAAAAATAAAACAACGCACACCAGACAGACAGAGAGAGAGAGAGAGAGAGAGAGAGAGAAAGGAGGAGAAAGAGGAAGACACAGAGTGAAGTAAACAGACGACATGGAAATGAAACGACAAATAAGAAAAACAAATTTACGTGTCAAATATTTAAATTTAAATAGAAATAGAAAATTGAAAATACATTGCAATTATTGTCAATATTACAATTTAAGCAATCACCATTAACTGAAATTGAAAAGTTATAGTCATACGATTCAAATAAATTCAAGTATTAATGCATGTAAATAGAGATGTAAAAGCAGGAAGAAACAGCGGAGATGATACAGCGCGGAAATTCCAAAGCTATCGTGAAGCTAAGAACACAGAGAGCAAAGAGAGGACCGTCGTACAAACATTTTCAGTGGCACCGGCTGGAAGGAACCCCGCGCGCAAAAGCTCTCATTTTGCCGGGTCAGGCCAGGCCAGGCCGCCTTTGGGAAAGCGCGGACGTGGGCAAAGAGATTTTCCACTTTCCACAGAGAGAAGCGGGGTGTACATGTAAAGAAACGCCGACTGTGCACGATTAAGTTTATACGCGAGAAGATCAAGGATGTAATCCTTGTGTCATGAGTACACGTGTCGTGAGTGTGAACTTCTTATCTTTTAATAGCGAGTCCGTCGTAGCGTTCTTATTCTGAGCTAACCAACTGAATCAATTTGTTTTAGCAAATATCAAAAGTACAAAGATAAATTTCAGTAATCGCAACGATTTTATCGAAGATGGAAATAAAGATTTTGTTCTTTTCTGTCTTTCTATCTTCTATCTTGTGTATATATATATATATATATATATATATATATATATATATATATACATATATATATAGTAATTATTAAAAAATATATAATTAAATAATCGGTAATATATTATAAATTATCTCACATCATTTTCACGTCATGTTAAATATCGTGACATTTTGCGATCATGACAGCATAACGGTATTAATTTCCAATATCAGCAGATTTTAATATTCAATTTCAATCACATATATCACTGTGACGACGTATATTGTAACATCGTTGATGTTAAAATGCGGGCTTGCGGTATTTCGTTATCGAATACTTAAATTACGCAGCACAATTAACATTAAATGAAGAGTTTTTCATTGACAAAGGGAATGGAAATGTCATGTTAAAGAAAAATTTACAATTCTAATGTGACTTGCGTGACGTAACGGCCGATTTGCATGAATAAAAGCTTTGCGTTGACATTGATCTCAGGACCGATCTTGCCGTACATAATCGCGATCCCGGATCTTAGGCGTAGGTCAGATCTGACGGTATTGGGATCGTCCGGATGCTCCGTATTTCGAGGGGATCGATGCCAACTGTTGAATATTCGATGCGTCGGGACTATCCATGAGGATAAAACCAGTCGTTAAATAACCGGCTACGTACTCCGGGCACGATCTATCGATTATCAGGGTTTTCTATCTTGATTCGATTCATGCGGATCGCCGAGCAACTCCCGCGGTTTCGCTCCCATGATGTAATTACGAACATTTTAGCGTATAATTCGTATCTGCATGGTTTTACATTTCATTAAACGTCTAAAAATACTCGTTCGGAAATAGATGTGATTTCGTTCGCATTCCGATCGACGTATGTGAACGAAACATCATCAGTGTGTATCGAATCAAACTATTCTACGAGATTCAATTCGTGACAATTAACGTTTTGTAGTTTAAGTTTTACTGCAGAATTGTCTCTGATAGCATCAGGCAGCATTATTTTTAATGTTATGTATTAATATTACATTAAAAGCTCAATTTTGACGCTACTCTTATTAAAATTGTGTTAAAAACAGCATGTCAGATTCGGATAAACAGCATAATAAGGAATTTTATAGTCATTAAATAATTTGATATTGTTTTGCATTTAATAAACTTGCTACAATCTCTCGACACTTACCTTCTTCATTAAGGACATGAAATCCATCTTGACGGCTGTTTCAATCTCGCCTATTCTCAATGGAGGAAACAGAGGATTCCTAAATCCCAGTTGCGCCTCTTGTCACTTCCTGATGCTGAGTACCGGCATAAAGGCCCGTGATTGCTGCTGATTCGCGATCGCCGACCTTGGCTCACAGTTCCGTGTGATGTCTTTAGATTTGCAGAATCTTAATTAGCGTATGATGGAGCCGTGCGGCTCGCCCTTCTGCCGTGAAAGCATCTTCTGCGATCATTATCACTCGCCTTCAAAGAGACACGAAGTGGCTCCGGTGTGTTGTCACGCGACTCTGAAAATGAAGTATCAATGTATTTAATTACGTGCGATTGAGCGGAACTCAAGGAGCAAAAGTAGGCCAAGTCCGTCATTAATAACGTTCGCTTTACCTATGACTTATATATGACTTTAATGTTACAAATGAGTGTGATAAATGATGGACTCGATCCACTTCTGCTTCGAATTACGAGGCTTGATAATGGATTCAGTGATCATCAAAGCTTGTCTCACCGCGAACGGTCTACACTCGTGAAAATGTTTCTGACTTATTTCAAGCGTAGTAAATAGATTTCGACTTTAAAGGCGGTATTGAGGTTTTCAGAAATCCCGCGTCATATATACCACTTTGTAGTTTACAAACAGTCCTCTCGCAGCTTAGCTGGCTGCTTTGAGAGGTATGTTTGGCTGAACGTAACCTCGTTAGAAAGTTTAGACGCAAACAAATATTTGCGCGCGCAAATTAATATCTGGCTTTGTTTCGTCGCATACGGGACGTCAGCGCCTGAGAGCGAGCGCATACATGTTGTGAGATGATTAATCTTACTTTTCCTAACAACGACAATCCGATATTTTAGATATCTGAAAATTGTTACGTTAATAGCTTAGTTTCTAAGCACCGACGTCTCGCAAAATTACGTTATTTGGCTGAAAAAGGCGATAATACGAGAGATGATTGTTATTTTTCATAACGTCGATCTTATTATGATGCAAATTAATTTTTACTTGAAGACGCGTTTAGTCTTTCGTAAAACTTGAAACACTAATATAGTTGTTAGACATTGATAAAACCGACGGAACTTGCTTTATCTCATTTGTGTCTCATATGAAATTGAATTATGAAGTTCCGTTTGTTTATATCACATACGCATATTGTCATACACACACGCACGACGAAAACATAATTCTAAAAGCAAACTAAAAAATATCAGTCTCCAAAATTAATAATTTATTCGCATGAATAAAACATGTTGTAAATTGCAACACACGTTTAAGACAAAAGTTAGTGTTTACATTAATTTCATTCAGCGACAGCACGAACGCTAACTCGTATATTATACTTGATAAAAATCTAAAGAAAGTTTAATCAAATATTTTCGTTTGACAAATTGCGACTGCAATTTATGGCAGAGAAAAGTAAAATCCAATTACCAGAATAACGTGGTTGGAATTACGAATTTGAATTATTAAAAGTATAATTCCCTACTGAGGATCGCAAAAAGATATGACAAGACTATAAAGTTTGTTGAACTTAATCAACGTATACCAACGCGCTGGACTTGTCCTCATTAGCTGTAATTTCAATCAAGGAAATCATCCACGCAGCAACTAGAGGCCCTTGATTCCCACAGGCATAGTTGACCACGATGGTACTGTAATTACGAATTCAAACTCCGTAACGATGTTGCATCTAAATTAATAATAAATTTGTACAGACCACACGTATGCGTGTGTGTGTGTGTGGATGTGCATGTTATTTTGCACTGCTTTTAGGTGATTGTAACCAAAATTTTTTTTATAATAACGAGGTTTCCGCAGGGATGATTGATCTGTTACAGTCATTTTAGCTTAGCGAACCTACATGGACCGAAGCTCATCATTGTTGACATTCACATACTCTAGGCATCATACGTACTCATATTCAGTTCTTTGTGATTGATAGTGCAATGAATACTTTTGAAGAAAAGAATAGAAGCAAAAAATAATCTCATCTAAAAAAAAGAAGAGTAAATTAAAGTCTAGATGTGTTAAAAAGCTTTATTAAATTAAAAATTAAAAAAAAACAATAATAAAGTATTTATATAATCGACCCGTTCTGTTCTTGTATTTTTATCCATAGTTAATTGTAATCATATTATCTTAAACGATTATTATGAATACTTAACAGTATCAAATAATAAATTTAAATTAATATACGTTTTTGCGTACATAAGAGGAGAAACTTTTCTCTTTTACATTAATTTATAAAAACAACGGTATTACTTCTGCAGCAAGTACTTTGAGATTATTAGTTTCCTCAATTAAAAGTTTTCAACAAAATAAATAAGCAATTTAACTAACTATATGTATATTTTTTTCACAAGAAATATATTTGACATCGTACTGCAAACGAACATTTTCTGAGTGGTAATAAACTGCAGCTTATCAATATCAATTGCGAACATCACGAAATTGCATTCGAAAAATTGTTCCGAAAATTCCGTCTTTCGCAAGCGTTAATTAACTCCTCCTACAATTGCGGTAGTTTGGGAAACTTTTGGTTTCGAGGCAGTTCCGGCGCAGCGCGAACTGATTCCAAGCGGCAGGAAGCAGCCAACTTGTCTCGCCCATGTGCGTTTTGGAAGCCGCACTCTCTTTCACGTTGCATTTCGCGCATCAGGCAATTAACCTGCCGCGCTACTACGAGACAAATTTCGGTTGCAACCAAGTTTCATGGTTACGTAAATCATAATAATTGCGATGTAAATGGCTTCGTTAACCGGTTCCGTTCGGCGGGATTAACGCAACGCTGCCGCTTCACCGTCGTTCTAACATCATTGTGGCCAAAATTTGTTATTACCGGCCGGGTCTCTCTCATGCGGTCAGGATTTACGCGTGATATTGCTTGTCGCGCAGTTTCTCTTGGGCATGTACGTAATAGCGTTAAAATGAATAATAAATTGAGATAAATATTCATTAATAGCAGTCGTTACTTGAAGGTATTTTTAGCGAGAGCACAAAAGAATAGAAACAATTTTTTTTCCAAGAAGAGAAAGCGAGAGAGAGAAAGAGAGAGGGCATAATAAAGAGAAAATTTTATATTCGCTCAAGATACGGGCGAAGCTCTTCTAGAGGCAGAGTGAGAACGCAATCAGACGTGGCGATGACACGATTATACTAATTTTCAGAAACGAAAGGAGAGGACGAAGAGGTATCAAAGAGATGAGAGCGACGCGGAAGGAATCGCGCAAAAGAGGATGTCCGAGAGAAAAACGAGGAGACATCGTCGAATGGGCTGGGTGGAACAATGAGCGGAATGGAATTTCAAGCGCCTCTCGCGCTGCGTAATACCCCGGCGTATATTAATTTATCTTATAATGATAGCCCGTCGTGGCGCGCTCACGGAATAATATCCCTTGAACGTGGGCGCTCTGTCGCTCGGATGACGAGAAACTGAGGGACAAGAAGCGGCATGGTATTCGCCCATATTAATTGCCGAAGTTAATATTCGCGTGGGTCGACACACGATCGACGGGGTTAGCGAAGTGCAAAGTTCGGAGCTACTCGAAAATCTCCGACCGGCGCGGGCGTCGCGAGAACCTGCGGAGGAACAACAAAGATCATATCGAATAACACGTTGCCATTTTGTAGATCATTAGAGGATTAAATTCTGCGAGCTACGTTAATTAACGAAGACGTAGGCGGCTTGTTCATATGGGGATGCTAATGACTGGCGTATCTCTCGTGTTCGCGCGGCGAATATGGAGGCGGTTTATTGTCTTACATAATCTTACGTCATTATTAACTGTCGTATCATTTCGTTTCTACTCACATGACATGCATTTTACATTTTTTCTATTCAATATTTCCTACTTTATTTTGAAATAAAATATAAATCTAATCTTTTAATTTCTATTGTGTGTCATGATAATTATATGATACTAAATGATCCTTCGTAAATATTCTTCCATGTTCTTGCTATCAATCAACAACGAGCTATCGGTATTGAGACGATATTATTATCGGATATCAATAACAAGAGAAATTCTAGGAAAATATTCAGATATTATGAATGAAACGCAAAAGCGGCATCGTATGAGGTTGCGGCATCGCAATATATGTGATATCCACGATGGATGATAATCTTAGAACACAAACAAACAACCCTCGCGACGTGTAACAAATAATCCGATTCGAGGTAATCTCCGATGACGTACGAAGCGGAGACAAAATTAACCTGACGAGGAGATCGGTCGTGCTTATCTACATATGCTCGGAATACAAGAACGAGTCCACCATGATTGGGACAAGGACACGAGGACAAGGCTGCAGCCGCGTTCGTTTTAAATGCTTGTTTTAGATACAATAGAATAACAAAGAAGTTATTCCTATTTAAAAAATTTATGCGATATAATGCCTGGAATATTGAAGCGAATATTCATGCATCCTACATTTAACATAAAATACGGCGGTCTGGATATTCAACCTGAAATAATATACGATCTTCGCATGAGGGAAATAAAATGATACAGAGACGGCAGTATCTCGCGTTAAATATGAGATGAAGAGTATATGCGTTCTAAGTTTAGAAATTTTAAAATTTTTTTATTTTACTATACGCCGGTTTCTTTCTCGAACAATTCTTTGCGATATGTATTCCAATTACTGCCGTTTTATACCGCTTATATTTATTAAGTTCGTCAAATATGCATTGGATCGATAATTTTACCAACGCATAATTTTCGAACGACCCATTTTTCGCCGCCTAAAATATTATACGTGCAGCTGAAATGATATCGTCCACGGTAAAGTCAAAATTGGCAAATCGAAAGGAAGTCATAAAACTAGATGTGTTAGGTTGCGACTCAATGCGGCCACGGTGCTGCTTCCGAATACGCGACATTCTGGCGGTTTACGTTTCTTTTATATGCACGAAATTCCGCGCGGAACATACATGTTTAAATTATATATCGTCGTCGTTACTCGAAAACGCGCGTATCCGGTTTCTGTAACAACGCGGACAATAATTTTGCCACACTTTTAACCCTTTGAGCGATCACGTTGGCATAAGCGCCAACGTATAGCAATAAGGTTGTTAATTAAATCCGTCGCTCAAAGCGATGTTGCAATTTGTTTTAAAATTCGTCCTTCTTGATTTATGAGAAATATTCAAACTAAATGGTGTAACAAATTTAATTATTACTAATTCAGTTTTACCGGGTTGTAATAACTGTTTTAATACTGTACTGCACATTTGTTTACGTCTGTCGTGTAAAGCGCGTGTCATGTTACTTTTTTTATTGAAATTACTTGCAG